CCTACCAATTCATTGATCGAAGTGACGTAGTGACTTAAAGTATGTACTTTAGGTTGAACCTACATAATTCAGTGACTCTGTAGTGGCATTGAGCTATAACTACACAGTCCTCAAAGCTCAGAATGGGACAGTTGGAGAAATAAATATTCGACATATCATAATATCATAGTAGACCATAATCCAACAACTCCACAACCTGGACTACTATGCTTGGTATCAGGCTATCCACTTTCCTTAACAAATTCTGAAGTGAGGTCTTGCAAGATTAGTTTATATTTTTAGAAAATAAATTAAAGAGATCACCATGTGGATGGACTGAGGTCAAGCTGCCACAAGTGTTTGCTTGATACAATTTACTTGATGACAAACCTTAGATTTTCTTGACGTCAACCAGCTGTGATAAACCAGGCAGGGCACAGTGTTTGTCATCAATATCAGGATCACATCTAGGAAACAATAGTTGCGATAGCGCTTAAAGTCTTTTCATTGAAGCGGTTGTGAAGTACAGAAATGTGGAATTTACAATAATCACAATATATCTGTGCCATTGGCCCCTTCATCAGTGACTCACTTTGGCTCCAAATAGACGATTAAAGGACAATGGCGGTCAACAAAGTCAATTAATTGTATCAGGGGCTGCAATAACCGTCATGCTTACACTTATGTAGTCAGTGAATTTATTATATTATCATGTGATTTCTATTAAAAATCAAATTATGTTTTGCATGTCGCTGTGACTAGAATTTGTATTACTTTTGCCAGGCTGCGTTACATTGAATACGCGCATTACATGATAAAGTGATATTTCAAGTTGTAGAAACCTAATAATGGTGAAGATTGTTTCAAAGTAGACTGTCGGCGAATAATGAAGAACGGTTTGAGACTAGGCTTAGTTCTGGTGGTTGTGCTGTATGGTGTGTTTTGAAGCCTAACTGACTGCAGTCTTCCATCCCGAAATAATTTCATTTCTTTTTTAGGTAAGTCTTACTGGCCTATAGTTTGCTTTTTGGGTTTATAGTCTTAATTGTCTATAGCAAACTATTTTATGTAACACTTCTATTCAGACGAAAGTAATTACTACACATCTTTAATCTAGTATACTTGGTTGTATCAAAGTTCGTTTGGGTCAATATAATAACCTTAGTTGACAGAAGTAATAGAATTATGGTATACTTCGTTATTAGTGCTGTTTTAATAATAGACCTAATCCTAAAATTGCAGATTTGTTGTGATATGGCTACCTAATCTATAAAGTCTTATGTCGATGTCACATGATTGTCTACACTGATTCGTCGTATCGTAATAATTACCAATATATGATGGAGAACACATTCAGACTGGAGCTAGAATAATATATTTAATATGAGTAAAAACAAGTCATACAGAATGACAATGCCTGCAAGCCATGCCACCCGACTAGATTCAATTAAATTCATTCATCCCGCTTACTCCAGCATTGGATTTTTCTCCGCGTTGAATGTTGAATATCTGTTTTCCCGGGTGTCTCGTGGATTATGTGATTAGGGCCCGTTGTCACTACAAAGTATTGAAGCGCATAAGTTTATTAACTGCAGTTACTTGATTTTCATTTTCGTTTGTATGTTTAAGCATCAGAAGTAGAAAACGAACATTATAAGTTTCTGTGTACACCGTAATGTAACTAGTTCCTAACAACTGAATTTGAGATCTTAAGACCTGTGCGGTGAGAGAGGAATCGTGGAGGAGGTGATAATGATCTGTTGTACTTATTTTATCCCTCCTCACTCTAACATATCAGTGATTAATTTTATTGACAGATTACATGTAAGACAGCAGTGACATCTACCTATAAGATTAATTTACACTTTACTAAGAATGACAGCGAAACTGTAGTGGCTCGCATAACAGACCGCTTAAAGTGAGAATATTTATCCAGATCGGTCCACTCATAAATACAAAGAAGTACCTTGGGTGCTTCTGTCGTTGAGCGTCATATGACGACAGTTTCGTAAAATGTGTCACTACTACCGTCAATGTCTTCGTATCAAGTAAGTGTCCATATACTGAATGTATTATATTACTTTTGTCTTTCAAAAGTGGAACATATAGCAGTTAAAAAACTTGAGACAGAGGAGTGATACAAAGCAGATGAACATTGCGCAACCTATTTTTATTGATTGCCCTAAATACAGAATAGGGAGTTACGATTACTAACCAATATCATGATAAAATACAGGTGAGCACTAATCAATAGACTAATAGAGTAGTGGGTTAAAATAAGTAAAAACTAATCTATTAAGTCAAAGTGAATATGAGAAATGATAGCAGGCCCCATTTCTTTAGTCAGGCTCATCAATATAGGATTATAATCTAGTTCGATATTAGTACACTTATCTTGGCTATTAGAACGATAAACCTAATCTCGAAATTGTAGATTTATCACGATTGACTACCCAATATATAAGATCTTAAGTGGAGGTCACATCATTCTATATACTGATACGCCCTGTGGTGTTAATCAACAATATGATGTTTAGCTGTTCTGAAGAACACGTTTGGGCTAGGGATAGAATAGTACGTATAATATGAAAAGAAATAGGTCACATAGTGACCACGCCCGTATGGCCGAGGTACGCCATTTTCATAACCTAGTTTTCGCGCGCTCATCATTTTGCACATTCTCTGAGTGTTGCACGTTGAATTTAGATCTCGGCAGTTATGTGTTCAGCTTCAAAGATCGTGTGATTAGTAACCAATACAACCACAGCATCCCTTCAAGTTTCAAAGTAGACTGCCTTACTAGGCCTATAAATGTCACGAAAGTACCTGTTCACTCAAGACTCATTAAGGTTATGTAATGGGCATTTTATAATATGTTACGGAAGCATGGTATACCAACGAGATTTCTAACATCTCAAGAAAGTTCACTCATGCACTATACATTTTCTACTTATAGTAGAGAGTTCGGGTAGTATGGCTGATTGTATCAGGTAGATTTAATGCATCTAGAAGCATAAAGTCGGATTTAGGAACCATATTCAGTTTATCTACAGGACACAAACCATAAGAATTCTTAAAGTGAGGGCTGCTTCTACATCGACCACAATTTTTTAGGCGGTATTGTGTCCAGGAGATAGAACTGTTCGAAGTAGAATCAAACATTTTGTCTGGCAGTCGTTTGGTAAATCGATAACAGTTAGGACGTAGTGGGTTTAAAACTATAATCAGTGTAATGGGTTCACTCATATTATCTAACTATTACTCCTAATCCTACCAATTCATTGATCGAAGTGACGTAGTGACTTAAAGTATGTACTTTAGGTTGAACCTACATAATTCAGTGACTCTGTAGTGGCATTGAGCTATAACTACACAGTCCTCAAAGCTCAGAATGGGACAGTTGGAGAAATAAATATTCGACATATCATAATATCATAGTAGACCATAATCCAACAACTCCACAACCTGGACTACTATGCTTGGTATCAGGCTATCCACTTTCCTTAACAAATTCTGAAGTGAGGTCTTGCAAGATTAGTTTATATTTTTAGAAAATAAATTAAAGAGATCACCATGTGGATGGACTGAGGTCAAGCTGCCACAAGTGTTTGCTTGATACAATTTACTTGATGACAAACCTTAGATTTTCTTGACGTCAACCAGCTGTGATAAACCAGGCAGGGCACAGTGTTTGTCATCAATATCAGGATCACATCTAGGAAACAATAGTTGCGATAGCGCTTAAAGTCTTTTCATTGAAGCGGTTGTGAAGTACAGAAATGTGGAATTTACAATAATCACAATATATCTGTGCCATTGGCCCCTTCATCAGTGACTCACTTTGGCTCCAAATAGACGATTAAAGGACGATGGCGGTCAACAAAGTTTGTATGATAGAATAGAAGAACATGCACAACATTACGGAAGAGGTACGGCCATAGAAAATAAAATATATGAAAACAACATTCATTCTAAAGACCACAGGGTAATTATAACAACTCTTGGTAAAACAACTTACATCAGTCAAGTAACACCACTGTCCAAAGAATAGAATACATCAATTTGACCATCTGAAAAGATTCGAGAACAGTTATAAAATTATCATAACCCAAGAAGTGAGAGAATTATACTGTTCGTTGTTTGTCAGCGGCAACAGATACTCCTTACAAGTGGGAAAATGTTTCTGTTTCACACAAACGGGCCAAATTAGTGGAATCAAAAAAGAGCAATAATAACTATGGCTGTCCACTATTTGAGCCCCTGAAATATAATTTTAAGTAAAAGGAAAGTGAAATAAGTTGTTGTGACGTAAATGAGTTGTTCGAAGTGTCAAATCTGTAGACAGCACAATAACAATTGCAAACATACTGAAAGATGAACACAATGCTAGTGAATAAAGAGGACAGTATAAAAAGCGTTATATGTAAAGTAAAAAAGGGATGTCGTGTGAAATACAGGCCGAGAGGGTCTTCACAGATATATGAGCACATCCATACATGGAAACTGTTACATTGGGTTTTATCTCTACCATCACGGTCAACCATCTATCGAAACCACTTACGACATAAAATTTATTGAATACCAACCTTTTAGGTCACTTATTCATTTTTGTTGTGTTTGCACGATATTTATTTTTTCTCATCGTCAAGGAGTGAATCAGCTGATTAAATCTTTACACTCCTTTTCTAGACATGTAGTTCTATATAATAACCAACCAGTAGACGTTTCAGTAACAAGGTATCTATTGGTTCTAGCCGCTTACTCATCACCAACTTACTCCTGTTACCTCTCGTGGAGGAGCATAAGCCTCCCACCAAGATTCTCCATCTGATTTTTTCCCGGAAAATCTTTTCCATTTGTTTCCAAATGCTATTCAGAATTTGCTTATACTGAACATCTAACACCAGGAATTGCAGAAATATGTTGCCCCTGTTAAAATAAATGAATTTGTTTATTAACCAACGTTACAGAGGTAATGGATTTTGGATAGTTTATATTACGCTAGTTGGATTGCGGTTTTTAAGCGCTCAATCCAGCTTTTGGAGGTCACTTGGTGTTTACTATATGGTTTGGTTAGTTAGTATATAAACAGGATTCGGGTCATGAACTTCATGAGGAGGCATTTGACGAAAAGTGTTAGCAGAGAAACCAGCTTACCTGTATCTTTTGACTGTCGCAGACTGCTATCATTGTTCAATCAGTACGTACAAGCTCAAAACAATGACGATAAGGATACTATTTTATATAACACACTCCCATACTTCTGCAAGGTTACCTGTTTCCTTTTAGTTTCATCGTAGTTTAGGTTTTTTACGATGCCCAACCCGTCGACTTCGTTGATAAATTCCCAGATATACATATATTTTGTGCACGTGTCTCGCAACTGTTTGTGCGTGAAATTAAGGCCAGAGCTGCAAACAAGTCTTCAGGTACTATAATTCTTGTTTGTTTCACCTTTTTTAGAGGAAGGAGGTCTTACTATTGCCCTATTTCTCGAGCCAGATGAGAACGTTGGGGACTGTCTCGAAGTTACTGACTATGAACACGCCGTAATTACAAATAAAGGGTCATATCTACTAAACTCTTTAAATTTAATGAGCACTGGACATACTAGTTTAATTGAATGCATGGCAGCCGCTTCAGTACCATCTACGTTGGTCAAGTGCTTGTACATATTTCTCGATCTTCCTGAGAAATATTCCACTCGGTGTACATTCCATACAAAGTTTCGAGAAGTATGTCATGATTAACATAAATTCACATTTTTGGGAACAACTATACTTCTAATATATGCCTTTGGAAATGATATTTTCCGTGTACTTTAGATAAGTGAACGCAATAAAAGAAACATATATAGATTTATAAGAAATATAAATTTTCTTACTATTGTCTAAAATATTAGTTGTAATTCTCAAATCTCGCACGATCCTCACTGCTTTTAAGGTATTCGGTACATCTTTTCCAACTGTGTACAGGTTCGAAAAACCAGCATACAATAATTCTCCCTTCAAAGCCTTAATGAATATTGAGTGAAAGTCTATTGCCCGAACACCGATTACCACGACGTGCAGTGCTAACCGGTGTTCGGGAGGGTTGGAAGAAAGTTAGGGGCGGCCAAACCAAAACATGGCATCAGTGCTTGAAGTCACTAACTTCTAGTCTCAGCCATGTTGGTAGATGCAGACTACTTGGTTGGGGTCCACGTGACTATTGTAACCAATTGTTGGAGACTTGGTGGCGGCTCAGAATCGATCACAATGGCGTCGGTGTATACACCCTCTGTCTTCGCTTAAACTGTGAGACTAAAATTATTTTGTATCTTTCTTTCTACGCACAAATCCTTTCTTCCTGTACTATATCCTTATTGCAATCTTTCTTTTATATATTACCACCTCTGAATAAACTACGTTTATGAATCCAGTGTCCATCTTGTTGTGTTAACGAAGTATGGCAACTTAGACCGATGCATATATGTGCCTGGTCCTACGTTGTAGCTGACTGACTGAAAGTCTATTACTAGTCTCATTTTAATTGTTTAAACTGTATTTGGTTTCCGCGTAGCATTATTTTCCACTTGCTAGCTTTGTAAAATGGCTAGATACAGTCTGTCTGATATACTTTATCAACTCTTTAAGTCTAACTGATGATTTTAACCGTCTTGGAAGTTTAAGATTTTTGACTGGGGCGATCAGCAAGGCAAAATCTAGTGTTTATAGATCCTTGTTAAGATGACTCGTTCTTTGTATGGTATCACAATCCTAGCACGGTTTATGTTTGACTTCCGTTCATACTTTTCTCTCAGTTAAAAAGTCGTAACTGTTAGCACCTCATTCTTATGTAAGCTTTTATATTGTCTTACAAGTGTGCACATTGTTAATTATTGTTTTACAACTAACTAGATTCTAGTTTTCCTGATGTTTTGTGATTATTGTTCAGCTACTTCAGCGGCTCTGTTTGTATCCCGTAGTAGCCGAGGAATTGGCTCGTAAAGATGCTTTATGTCATCTTTTCAATGCTTTAACAGATTGGTGCGCACCTCATAACGCCTCTTGGAGAGTGACAGCCACTGTGGTATTGTCTACAATTGCTCAGAATTCTCTGACTCCTGTTGTAACAAAGTGCATACACGGTGAGTTACCTAGTGCTTAATTGTATAATAAATAATCCTTAAAGATATACCTCATGTGGTTTGAGTTCTTTAGCAAACACTTAATTATGAAAGCTAAAATTTAGTTTTATGCATGCAATAAAAGTCTGTCTCACGCACAAACAAATCAATTCCAAGTTCAAATCCATTAAACTACTTCTCGATATTTTAGAAAACAAATAATGATAAAACATATTTTGTTAAATTCTGATAGGCTTTCAGGTGAAAGCAGAATGTAATTAGACTATGAAGTGTCTTGTGACAAAATTGATGTAAATTCCATCGTCAGTATTATATGTATTCAACTGTTTCAGTGTTTGGATTTTTGTAATATGAAATTTCATCTAGTGTACTCTAATCAATTCAAAAATGTTACGATATTATTCTGGTTTCAGACTCGGAATGTATTCATCACTGTCTCAAGAATCTCTCTGAAAGCAAGTCAGGTTCGAAAGATTTTGTGAATAGTTTTGTCTCACTGCTTCATGTTGTTCGAGAATCATCTACTGATGACCAGATTCTTTTGGATGATTTCCGAAGCAATAATGGATACCTTGTACTTAGCGACTTCTGTCTCAAGTAAGTTACTTTGTTGGAAAAAGACATTTTATTAAGTTGTTTTTATTATTTAATAAGCCCCTTTCAAGATGTATCTTTGCTTATCACTTCAATATATTTTGATGTCTTCTGTAAATTTGTTTTTGTTCTCTGACAAATCCTTCACAGTGGTTTTGCAACAAATGAATTTTCATTAAGTGCTAAATATATTAGGGTGGAAATAAAAAAATTCGCAACTAAATCACGATTTTCTGCATATTGTCTGCACTTCAAAGCTTCTAGATCGCAAAAGCCGGTGTAAATGTGTGCTCTTGAAGACAGTGCTGACAGTATTTTTACCAAAGTGGTCGGGGAAAATGATCAATAGGTGCGTTTAAGAATTACAAGAAGAAGATTGTAAAAACAGGTCAATGGAAATCGGAATTAGGTTAATTGTTATTTGCAGTTTTTTCAAGTTTGTGTTGGTAATGTTTGTCATACCAGTGTTTAGGCTTGAAGGATACGAGTGTATGGACCCCATATTAAAAAAATCTATATTACTGTAAGATCCTCATACAATCGCTGCTTTAATCGACATAAACTTTATTATTATTATTATTTGAATTTTACGAAATGCTTTCTTGGATGGTTTTAGTTTGGTATTCGGACAATTATTGTGTGTTTGGTAATATAGCACATATAACATTAATAACGGCTTTTCCAACTCCAGTAACAAAGATTGAATGCTTTAAAGTAAACTCATTTTTGGTTGTTGTAGAGCGTTTGTTGAGAGAGTTCAATGTCCGTTTTCTCCAAATAAAACTTTCGCTTGTCTAAAGTGTAATTTTTTTGTGTTATATATTGTAATTAGTTGTAGGTTATAAGGCAAGAAGTTACAGTTTCTGTTCTAATCATGAAATCTACTACACATAGTTACTTTAAATTTAGCGTGTAATACATATAAAAATCACTTTAAATACTTTAAGTTCTTTGTTTTGTTTATTTCTTTTAATTAGACTTGAGGAAAATCGATCTCCAGACTCCGAAAGCTCCTTAAAAACTCTTGTGGCTCTTGTTGGTCATCTGGCGATATGTGGCCCAGTAGAACTTCGTCCTAAGGCAGGGGCTGGAGAGCAAATCCACAAAATTCCAGGGTTTCACATTTATATGCCGAAAACCCAAGGTTTATTCTGTAGTTTCTGTATTTAAAGTTTCTCGTATAAAAGTATTTAACTGTACATACTACCATGTTTATCTACAATACCTAATTAAGAATTGTACTCAAAATTCAACTCTAGTTTCTTTTTTTCATGGTTGTTACCTGATGGATTTCTGCTGAGTGTTCAAAACTAATAGTAGCCATATATTTAATTTAAGAAACATAGGTTCCTGTTCCATCTGCCTTATTATTTTTTTTCCACACGTACATAAGGTTTACATTCGATTTAACTATATGAAAACACTTGCTTATCATTTTTTATGTTGATCCAAATTAATCTCTACAACATTCTTTATTCACATCTTCCAATAATATGTTCATTTATTTAGAGAATTTCATCATTTGGACTGTAAAAATACACTTTCAAACTAGTTTTCAATTGGGGAGATTAATTTTACTCATATTTATGAGTTTTCGTAATAAATTAAAGTGAACATGAAGTTTCATTTACAATTTCAGTTAGCTATAATTGTGGATGACTTCAGCTGATAACTGAATATTTTTCGACTTTAGTCAACTGCTTTTTAATTTATTCTGTCATATTACAGAAACCAAGTTACTTGGTACTCGGTAAATTCAGTTGTATTACTTAATATTATATATATATATTCGTAGGTTGGTCATCAGTATATTGTTTGCATATGTTGAAACCACCGAGGAAGCAACGCCGAGATAGAGATGAAAAATTTGTTGATAAGGTAATAACGCTTCATCGACCGAGGTAGTTGGGATATGTATTACGTATGCCCAGCCACCACCTACCGTAACCCATAGTGAGGTGGAGTAAGTTGGTTGTTAATTATTGGACTAGGCCGTGTTGGTGGATGTACATTATCCGGTTGGGGTCTGGGCGATTTTGATAACCATTGTTTGGAGATTGGATGACATGGTTCAGAATCGATTACGATGGCATAGATAAGCTCACTCTGTTCTAAAGTCCTTATCCTTTAATTCCGCGAATTCATTCTTGAATTGTTGTCTAGGCCTAGTGTTTTCTGCTACTAATATTAATGTTACTACTTCTACTATTCTGGGATTAGTTTTGGCAATTTTATCCCTCTAAGTTAATGTAGTGTAGCAACTTAAACCGATACATTTGCCGGTTTATAATTTACATATGACCGACTAACCGTTTGATATCCTCTTTGTTTTCACGACTAATTTACATCTAAGTATTATTTTGGCATTATCTACTGATATATTCTTATTTTTTGGCCTCGTCACGTTTTTACAAATAGATATGATGTACATATGAAGTGGGTCTCATGTATTTCGTATGTAATAAGCATTAATTATGAGGATTAAGTTCATAATATTGTAGTGATAAGAAAAAAGTCATCTCATTTATCATTTGATTCTTCACCTGTATAGTCTCTACTCATTGCTAAACTAATCGTTAAGAAATTGGATTTTTATTTCATTTCATTGGTGTACTTAAGTTATTCAAATTAATGTTCAGAAAATAAATTCATAAATGCTTCACTGAATAAATAATTTATTGTGTTTTCTGATTTCATCATAGCCAGAAAAAGTGTGCGTAACATGTATGCATTTGATGTATTACAATCGCTGTTCAACAGATCTTCAACAAATCATCTTAGTTTACTAGTTTTGAAGACAGTCCAGTCAATTTTTCTTCAGGATTTGGCAAATTATTTCATATTAGAACAACAAAATATATTGGTTGTCTTTGCCAAAAAAATATTTGAAAAATCATATGAAATCCAGGTTAGGAATTTTTATCAATAATTATGAGTTTCTTATGAATTACTTTGTATATGTGATATGCACGCGGATGATACATGTGTAAATATGTAGAACTTTTCAAATAATTCAAATAATTGCATCTGATTTATTGTTTCATTTTGTTACGAACATCAAGCTTATGTTATTTGTTTAAATCGACAATTTTATTTGGGCAAATTATTTTATTTTAGTGTTGCTGTATTCCTTAATGGTTTCAATTGCAAAGCTTTCATTGCCGTTTTAGGCAATATTATCATTAGCTTATTTCAACTAGAAGTAAGCTCACTTGAATCGAAATATGAAGTCAAGTTTTACTAATAAAGCAATCTTTTTACTTTGAGATATTGTCATAAGATTTCATGATGAATTACTAAGCACAGTCTTTATCATTGCAAACCAGTTCATATTAAAGGTTTACTATTTTATTAAAATGATGAATATTTACTTTCGCTTAACCAGTTTTTCTAAGAATAAGTTCATTGATAACATTCTCTACAATGTCAATAAGTAGGGATAAGATTAATGATACTTTACTATCATCTGAATGCTTAAATATCAAGTTTGTTTGTCTTTTATTTTATTTTGATAAATGTTGGCTATTACCAACTTTAGTCTTTCTTTTATTAGTAGTTTTTTAAAGATTCATGCAAAAAAGATCTATAAATAGTTATTCGTAAATGATTATGTTTACATTTACCTGTAAAATTAATATTTTTAAAAATTCACAATCACTCGTTTTCCTTCTTTTTTTCATACCAGGAGGCCTATTTTGATTTACTTGAAGCACTAGTGAACAAATTACACTATGTATTCATGAAAGAAATCAGTAGTATCGTCGTTCAAATGAAACTATTTAAGTTAGTGAATATTTGATTAGCTACCCGTTTTATTGTTTATTTCATGGAAATACGATTGCAGGCTGAAATTATGTCTAGATTTTGGAGTAATTTTAAAATTTCTGTTATATTGATAAAGCAAGCATGATTGGGAGATGTTTATTCTAATGTTTAGTGGTTAAACCATTTGGTTGACCTGTGAATTTCCAGTACTTCTACCCTACTATTGGCTATGTGTGTAAAACTTTATCTACATTTCATTTTGTATTGAGTTATTTATATAAGCTTAAAAATATTTTTAGGTAAAGAATAATTGATGGCTATCATTTTGGTACCAAGTTAGTGGTCATCATTAGGTAACTGAAAGACAACATAACTCTGGATGAATTAACCTTTGTTGTTTTAGCGTTTGGTTATATAAGTTGTAACAGAAAGACTTAAAAATAAACACTTCTCAAAAGTATGTTAAATTAACTGAAGTCGATCTTTTAATGATTCGTTCCATTTATTATTAAAGCTGTTTTGATAGTGATGAAATGAATATATAAGGTTGGATTGGAACAAATAATATCACATAGCCACGAATGAGATAAACTGTGGATCTGTGATTTACATTGTAACGCGAAACAGAAGTTACTCTGCTCAACATTTTTGGTACATAAAGTGTTGCAAAATAAAAACACATGTTCCACAGTTGCGGCTCATTAGTTTGGAGGTTCGATATTCAATTAACTCGTCATGAATTCGAAACTCGGTCCACCCACTGAGGTTTAAGCAACCAAGTTGCGTTATCAGCCTCATTAGATGCACGGTGTTTTAGTGTACATATTTTACTATAAAGCTTGTAAAAATCTTAGTTATAATGAAGCGCCAAAACAACATCATTTGAATTGAAGAGATGATTGATCAATACTCATTAAGTGTATTTTGGCACGCTTTTGGAATGCTCTGTTACTTCGCAGTCCATTTAACCTTTAAAAAAACCACAGTTTTTATGGTGAAGTTTCCAGGGAATATTCATGTACATCTCAGGGTCGAGACTGTTCTTTTCTCTCAGAAGTACCATATACTCAGTTATGATAGTTGGAAAATCAAATATTTCTTTTGGCATCAAATCCAATGATGGTTTTACTTCCAATATTATCATTAAAAATAGGTTGTATTCTGATTTATTTTGTTCATTTCTGCTTACTTTTCAGTTTATCCCCTTCTCTGGTTATTGCCTATCGTCATTTTATTCAACTTCTGCGAATCAGTCCAGTTTTTAAGGATGTATTTCATGATGTTGGATTAATTGAATTGAGCATAGATCTATTAAATTACTTGATTGATACATTGGAGACTTTTTGTAACCCTTCTACTACTTCTAGTGCCTCATGTAGGTTTCTTTTTACAAAAAATATTTTTAAAATTTTGAAAAAAAATCCTGTACATGTGTTTACTAGTTCTTGATATTTTTGTAAGTAAAATACTTGGTCCTTTCGATTTGATTATGTTTATTGTTAATAATAGATAAGATATAACGTATTAGGATTAAGTATTAAATATCATTAAATATATATTCGATCAATATATTTGTTTAGCCAATCAACTATTCGCATTCATGATTCACTTTCAAACCAGGTTGTTTACTTTATAGTTTTTGTTCATTGCAAATGATGGTCAGTATGTTTTACATGTTAGTTGTAGAGTCTAACTGAGTATATTTCAAATACTTAATCTTTTTCTGAGCAATCACTTATTAGTTACATGAAATAGTTAAACAATTGTTTTAAGATATAATTTGTTCAATTTCAACTGTTATTGTTATTCGAGATGTGCAAAGATTTAGAATAGTGTTTTTGTTGTTTACTTGTATAACTTAAATCTATTTACTGAAATATTAAAATATTTTTGTTCATACATTATTAACAAAACTAATAATTTTACAGGTAACATATGGAATCGTATCAATTTTCTTGAGATTTGCATAAGTTGCCATACATGTTTTTTGTTTCACTTTGCTCTCAGTTTTACATCAGTTTTTCAAAATGATCAATTCATTCTATCAAAGTATAGTTTTAACGGATTATTTTGTCAATTTTGTTTTGATTTGTAGGCGGTTTTCGTTATAATTTTATATTAGTCAGATTACTTTTCAGAATTGAGTAATTACTAAACATTGAATTGTATGTTAATCATTAATATTGTTGGTCGTCGCCAACACGTGGTGTTATTTATGTAAATGACATTAAGTGATAGAATTTTTACATAGGTTTCCAATGTATATATATGCTTAAAATCATCCATTTTGTAAAACTAGTAGTTATATGGTTCGCACTATTTATGCGGACAAACATAAGTAGTATGTAGCGCGAATTACAAGTAGAATGCTTACCAGCAGAAGATTGAGATAAGGAGAAGAGAAAACGAAGCGCATTCGAAATAACAACAAGATTGGAAGAATGATGAAGTATGTAAAAGACAACTAGATGAAGATTTGCAAATAATGTATTTAATTTTTAATTCATGTTTTACAAAGCTATTATATGGTTTATCATGAAACAA